CGAATGAAATCAGGGTTTGTAATAACATTCAATTCGATAAAACCTCTGCATACGGCGTTAAGTTTGCTTTTGCTGACTTAGAAAAAGACTAGGGTAAGTTTAAAATACAAAATACTCACCTTTCGAAACTCGTTCTCTGGAGGACGACTTCTGGTCAAAATCTCTTTGTCGACGAGCGGCGGACGACGAGTTTCCGCTTCCGTGACAGTGTCACGGAGAGCTACGCATGCGCTATGTGAGCACGCTAGTAAACTCGTACTCGTACTCGAATCCAAAGCTCTCTATTATTAGAATAGCATTTAATTTATTCAAAATGCCTAAATTAGTAAGTGACGTCACCGGACGAAATTATAACGCTCGGAATTCAGACGTCTCTCTCCCGCGCCCCCCTTGCATGGGGTAAAGGAAAGAGACGGCTGAAATTCAGACTAATGTTTTTACATAAAAATGTGAAATGTTCACTAGTTAATCGTCTCTGAATTTTTTTCCGAATTGTCACACGGGAAGATCGTCAAATTCGCGATTTTCTTTTGACCCGCCATTAGTTTACGTAATCAATTGCCAGATTCAAGAAGACTGGGGCGAGTTTCGAGCGTAACGTAGATGACTCGTTTGACACGCAAGAGAGTGGTCTTCCATATTCAAAACAGTATTTTGATCGTATATATTGCTTTTATAACACTAAGACTAAGACTATATATTTCACTAAATTTCACGAGGTTTCCCTATAAATATAAAATGACGCCAACAGTGTTTTGAGTTATCTACGTCACAGTGGGAGCGACCGCTGACCAAAGATAAGCTGGCCGTGATTTCGAAAATTAATGGCGGGACGGTTTTCAAATCGTAATTTCTCGCCCTAGATTTGACTTTTAACTAAAATCCTTATTGAAAAGGTTTTATTAATCGCTAAAAATTCATATTATAATGAAATAAATGAATTTTTCGGGTTTTCAAATCATAGGGAAGTTTCATAAGAGTGCTCCTTTGACACAACATTAAAACGAAAACTAAGAGAACGTTGTCGCCACCTTGATGCAGAGACCCTCTATTACGGTGACTCGGTAGACTGAATAGAAAACTTGTACTGAAGTCCAGCTCTTCATTCTACAGAGTTTTGCACTGTATTGTACAACACATGTAGATAGGTTCAGTTCGGCACATAAAAACAGTTTAACTACCTAACTGTATCCTTAACTACTCGTTTCCTTTTCCTTCTTTTCCAGCAGTAAAGATGAGTTTAAGAAAATTAACCTCATTAAAACTTTCTTAAGTACCAACTGGAAGAAAAATATCAAAGATTTTTCTTAAATATTCCAGTATAATGGAAAGATAGCAGACAAATAGTCCGAGCTGTACCCATCCAACGATGGAAACTGTGTTCTTGTAACGTGCTATGTCTAATTCAGTTGGCACAAAGCTGGTAAGTGCCGAATGTTCTGGGAAAATATTGCCTCGAACAAGCTGCATTTAGTGGCGAAGACGAGCATAGATCTTGGCGTAAGAAAAGACTGGAAGGAATAGAAAAAATATGGAGGATAAACGGCTGAAATGATACTAACAATTGCCGCAAAGTAAATAGCAGATAGAAAGGCCAATTAATTAATGCAAAAGGTGTTAACCAGAGGCAAATTAATTATGAACGCTCACTTCTATCTTAGTGTAACAACATAAAAGATAATCTTGAATTTTCCTTCAGCTTTGAATTTTCTGGTTTTGGCCTGATTAAATGATGATTCAAGTTTTCTTTCATGTGATTTGTTAGTAGTCATATTTCCTCTTACCGAAATTAATAGATGGTGCATCAGTCATTTAAAAAGATCCTGTTTCTACCAGCTGAGGGGTGAATCATTAGCAATTTGGCTTCCAAATATATATAGTAAAAACATCGATGACAATTAACAGTTTCGTAAATTTTTGTTCGTTCTCCAATTGTTTACCATTGGAAGTTACCCTTACCTGGTGTGAAGGTATTTTATTCTATATACCGTAAAGTCAAGACAGTATGAATTTACGATCAACATAGTAAATTAAACACGTCCAAAGAACTAATTATCGTTTCCACCATCAGTTTGAAATTTTCAGCATAGCATTTTCGTTCAGAGAGATGTTATTATATGATACAGGTTAGATCTGCATCGATATTTCCAATGATTTCACGTTCAAGCTGTGTGCAGTTTCTTACTGATCAGAAAAAAAGATCGGTGGTGCTTTTAATGGCCAGCAATAATGGACCGCCGTTTCTTTTTTCGTAGAAACATGTACATGAAGCAGTTGTTGGTGGAGACGGAAATAGATCTTGGCGTAAAAGATGGTTGAGATGATAAGAGAAATAAACATCAAAACTATATATCCAAAAGAAGAAAAATCACCAAAACACCCAACTAAAGCACCAGCTAGACCCCAAAAGGAGGGAGTTAGCGCTCGCACCCGCCTTAATGTCGCCATGGCAACCTTTCTGTACCTCAGACCCAGCAATCCGGCGCTAGAATTCTGTCCACACTTAATGCGGTTGATGTCAGGAGCGAGATTCCACAAAGTATTAGGGAGGAGTACTCTTGAAACAGATAACTTCCCGATGAAAAGGTTCGATGCTGTAGTTTATTGTTCCTTCAAGAAGCCTCCATAGAGAAGGGCCATATTAAATCAACACATTGAATCAGTGGCGATGCTTGAGTTTACATTGTTTTTATTTTACATTGTTTTGTACGACACAAATGTTCAATTTGGCTCACAAGGACAGTTTAACTGTCTAACTGTGTCCTTTACTGCTTGTTTCACTTCCCTGATTTTCCAGCAGTATAGAATGGGGTTCAAAGATGAGTTTAAGTACAGTAAAGAAAGGCAAAAGGTTAAAAAACGACCTCCGAAAGAGTCTCCCAAATACAGTGAGATCAAAAAAACACAAACAGGAGGGTAGCAAGCAAATAATCCAAGCTGTATCCATGCTATGGCGGAAACTGTTTTCTTGTATCGTGCTACATTTAATGGAATCGATACAACGCCGCTGGGAGGCTGTTGTTGTTGTTGTTGCTCGTGAACAAGGCCCTGTACATGAAGCAGTTGGTGGCGGAGACGGAAATAAATTTTGGCGTAAGAAATGGCCGAGACAATAAGTGAAATAAACGTCAAAACGGTATATGCGAGAAGGGAAATATTAAACAACTGAAAGAAGATGCACCAAGCGAAAGCAACAGTGAGAACCCAAAAGGAGATAATTAGCGCTCGCACCCGCCTTAACGTAACAACGTGTCTGTATCTCAGACCCAACAACAGCGCGAGAAGTCTGTCCACACTAATTGCGGTTGATGTCAAGAGCGAGACTCCACAAAGTATTAGAGAGGAGTACTCCTGAAATAGATAAACTACCCCCCAAAAAAATAGTTTGTTGCTGGAGTTTACTGTTCCTTCAAGAAGCACCACTGTAAACAGCGGTTGAATGATCAGTCCAACACAAAGATCAGTGACCGCCAAACATCGAAACAAAAGTTTTGTTGGAGGATGAATCGAAGTCACTTTGTGAAGAGCAATAAGGATTAGAATATTGCCCAGTGAAGCGGTGAAGGAGAGGAAAATGTTTAAGGATGCAAACGCCGCATACGTCGCTACAAGTGACACCGGATGACTGACTTTAGATGAGAAATTTCTCTGTTCATCAGTGGTGTTCAGCATTCTCCAAAAGCAACAGAGAATTTGTTATCAGAAAGGGAGACTGTTGGCTACTCTAACTGTTCCTGCTTGACTGCTTTTGATCGCTTAGTCTGTTCGTCTGGTTGAGATTAGTTCTGAGGAGGACTGTTGTTGATAGAGAAGTAAAAGATGCTGTTAAAACTACTGCGGAAGCAGTTATTAAAGAAGGTGAAGAGTCTTTGTCAATCGATATTTATAAAACTTGTTTTTGTACACTGATTGGTCAGTTTTACTTTATGCTATTGGCTGTGAGATTAAAAAATGTTTGGTCGTGTTGATCGGCTCTTTTCTTGTATAGATAGGTCGCACGTTAATACGTTGATTTGCTAATTTTCTATTAAGTGAGACGAGCATCTATAATTTTATGTCCATAATGATGGATAGTGGTTTAAATTTGAAAGATCATCCTGTTCCTACCAGCTGCATGAGGGATGGATTGCTTTGCAGTGTAACTTTTCTGCGTTATTTTGGCCTCCTTAATGGATGTTACTTTAACTATTTGCAGTAGCCGTCGTGATAAGCTTCTGAAGACATCGACAAATGACCTTTGTATGATTTGACTTTGAATTGAAGCCGCTGCATTTGACGATCATGTAAGCGGTGCTGTTTGTTTGCTGGATAAAATGCTTCGTCTCATGCATTTTTTAAGGGGAGGGTTTTTAATTGATACACTAGTATTTGAACCAAACTGCCAGGAACTTGTAAAGGGATCGCTGGAATTTTTGCGAATTCCCAATCGAATAAAAAAACGAAATTTGTCATTTTTGTCAAACTTTAAATTCTTGGGTAAACAAGACGAAAAACAATTTCTCTGAAAGATATTCACTTTTACTAAACAAGCTAAAACACCGCTAAAAATGGCAAACAGCTATAGTGTTCACATTGCAAACAAAATAGAAAGAAATTCAAATTTACTTTTAAATGCAAAATGCTGTTAGCGGCCTGTGCCGAGGACAATACTTATGATTTAGTTCGCTTTTCCACTGTAAAGAAATTTAAAAGAAATCCCCCTGCATCTTATTAGGAGGAAATTCACGCCTAACACCTTTGGTATTGATAGAATATTTTAGCTTCTTATATAATTCAACATCTTAATTCAGTATTTCTTCAATTGTGATTTTAATTCAGTATTTCATAGGGCGGTAAGGGAGATTAAATGTTTTGGATGTAATAACGCACCCTGTCCAAATTTTGTCGCTTACTTACAACCTCCCCAGCTGAGCGCAGTATTCCGGAGACCACATGGAGGGCTCGTTTGCGCTAATTTGGCTACTTCTGATAAAGAGATGTTAAATCCATGAACAAAAATAAATATCAATTTTTGCAATTTGATTTTTAACATTGCGGCGACATTTGTCAAACCTCTTTCGTAGCATAGTGAAACTAAATTAGCCATTTTCGAGCTACAAACCTCTTCATTTTTTACTCTCAAATGAGGTTAAAAGTAAATCATTTTAAGTGAAAATGAGATTTATTTGTATGATAAAAAATTAACGTTTTTCCATCGAAGGCCGTGTACTTGGCGTCGTCTAAAGATAGAGGCTTAGGTCATCTTAGCAATGGTCTGTTTCCTGAGTTGCAGCAACAACAGTAAACCACAAAGAAAGCTCCATTTGGGACTCTTCTGACGTCGCAGTTTAATCTAAAATACTCAAAATCAGCACAACACTAAAAGGAGTCGTCAAAAACGTCAAGTTTTAACTTGCACTCTTTATCGTCAGCAGTTTAAGTAAAAGTCGGTTAGTGGCGATCTACCGCCTCCTAGTTATAAGACCTCTTACCAACGTTTGTTGAGCCTGCGCGCAGGCTCTGGTGTTTGTGTTTCACCCCAAGCTCCTTTTCCGGTCACAGCCACCTCTAACGACATTACCAGCTGCTTATGAAAAAGTCATTGAAACCCTGATTTCTCGTCAATTCCGGAAATTCATTGTGTTTTTTCTTTATGGTGAAGTAGGTTTACATCTACCTACTTTTCATAAGTCCAAATTTTTAAGGCTGGGCAAAATGGTTGGGAATTCTACCTCAGATTGCTATCTGTATCGTATATTTTTGTTTTCAAACCGGATGGACCTTGCGATGGAGCAAGTGTAGCGGGTAAAAATTGAGTAGTACCGACCACATATGTTCATGCGCTGAAGACACTCATTTGCGTTAGGCACTATTTAGGAGTCTTGATCGATATGCTCATTAGAGATTTCATCATTCATACATGTACAAATAATCCATATAAAGCTTTTGCACATCAGTTCACCTTTATGTACAGGGTCAAAACCGTTTTATTCCCATATGTGACAAAGACAGAATTTCTCCCCACAATTTCAATACAATCTCAAGCAGACAAGTGATGAGAATATAGAAAAATATCCAGCTACCAAACTCCACATCATGAGAGTTGTACGGGAGACAGTAAAAAGTATTTCAAATGAGATATTGGGAGCGGAAGAGCTAAATCTTGATGCGTAGTGAAAGGGAGCTGGGTCATAGTTTATCTATAGTCTCCTTGGCTAACCGTTTTATTGGTCTTGTCACGCAACGCTCCCT